GTTTAAAAATGGCGGCTCCCCCCTTTTTGTAATGAAGCCCGGGAAATTCAAATCCCGGGCTTCATTAGCAAGTGCGGTATGCATACATTACCCCGCTAGTTCGAACTAGCGGGGTAGTGTAGACATAGCCTGAGTGAGCTGCCCTAAACGCCCTCTGCAATTAGCTGCTGCCCATAGGAGGGTGCTTCGTAGATGGCAGAGGCCAGAGAAAGAGACAGAAAGAGGTCGCCCGCTCGGCTGCAGCTCCTGGCACCGACGGCTCAGAATTGCACAGCCAGTGCCCGCCCTGAACGGCTGTCACCGAGAGGCATACGGCAGAGACTCCTGGAGCTGCCGCAAGTCCTGGGAAGAGGGCTCGTGATTGGGAATGCTGCTCCTCCGGCCGCAGGGAGACCGAGCTGAGAGGAGCCCAGCCTGCAGCCGGGGAATGTGCCCACTTAGGTCAAGAGCCGAGAGCCAGAGCAGATCAAGGGCGCAAGAGAAAACGGCCCTGAGATCTGAGATATCTGGTTGGCCCTTGGGGAGCCACAACCAGCCCAGGCTCCTTCTCCAACAGCGACGGGCCGCTAGCAATAGCTCTCTCAGCAGGCCTTGCTTCCCAGCCCAGCCAGAGATGCTCTCTCTTACCTAAGAGCCAAGGGGAGAAGGGCGGGCTGGTCAGACAGCTTAGCAATGGCAGGGAGGGGACAGGAATCGGAGGAGCTGGGTCCAAGCTTCCTGGGACAGGTTGCTTGAGAATCATTGTGTTGAGGAGGAAGGAGGCAAGTCTTTTGAAGAGGAAGCTCTCAGTGAATCTCGGGCGTGGAAGGCAGATGGCCGGGATAAGGTAGCTGGACCTGCAAGAGACGATCCCACCTTTCCGCTAAAGGGGCTGGAGTGGGCCATGAACCGACCTCCTTGAGGAATTTGCCCTCAGTGCCGGGAACACCCTGAAAATGCACCTCACCCGACCCCCAGCGGCCACCTCAAAGGGGGAAGATTATGTCGGTCTGAGGCTTGTCTTAAGAGGCTGCCCGCGAGAGACGCCGCCTGCAATGGCGATTGTGACACGGACACACCGATCGATTTTACACCAGAGTCAGTCAACGGCCATCATCAAATGACAGGGACTTTTGAGCTCTACCAACCTGGGCTGGATGTGATCCCCTAAGCTGGGATGTGCCATCCAGGAACTGCCTTCCTCATCTGGTGGGACAAAAAGAACCCCCCGAGGCAGCTAGCTTGTCCCCCAGGAAAACCGGCAGCTTATGCCTCCTGCTTATGCCTGCCTTGCCCACCGTCAGCAGCCGCAGAGAGGGCGAGAAAAGTCGAGACGAGTCTCCGAAGGAGCCCAAAGCTGTGAATCTTCTTCTGGTGTCTGGCCAAATTCGTGGGGGGAATTTTGGCCGGAGATCACCAGTGGTAAGGGAGGAGAGCGTTCGACGGGAAGGAACCCAGCCACGACTCAGCCAGCGCGGGGCAGAGAGAGGAGCTGACGTGGGGAAGATATTTCGTTCTCTGCTGCTCTGCCACTAATAAGCATCCTTGTAGGTACCCCTCTCCACGCCCCTGACCCCCCAAAATCCCGGCCCCTGACCCCCCAAAAGTCCCCCCCCCGATGACTCTGGGCAGCATCAGGACATGGAGTGTCCTTCACAGGGTGCAGGGGGCCTGGCAGAGGATTGGCTCCACTTCTGGGGAGGGGGCACAAGCCGTTTCATTTCTGATTCGATCGCTGGTCAATTTCCATAGTAATAAGACATTGACAGATACCGCCGGGGTCCCCAATCCGACGAGAGACACCAGCCAGCGCGATGCAGCCCCACGGCTCGCTGCCAGGATGCGGGTGTGCAGGAGGAGACGCGGGGAGAGCTCGGCCTCCTTTTACCTGAAATGCCAGGGGGCTGGACTCGATGACCCCCTGGGGTCTCTTCCAGCCTGCTGGCTCTGTGGTTCTAGGCAGGCTGAATCTGCCCCTGACGTTTGGGATGGGTTGGCATGAAAAACGGGCGTCTGGTCTGGGTGCTGGGGAGGGGGGCGTGCACGTGAGAGAGAGAGGTTCCTAGGACCTATGTTGCAGACACACGGGTTCTCTTATTCAGCGCTGGGTTAGAGCACATGGCGACGGGCGTGCGGACGGGTTGGGGCTGCGTCGCCAGTGAGTTACACCCAGGCAGTTTCCTCGTGCGGACAGACAGACGGATGCTGGCCCGGGCTCTGTGATCATTCCCTCCACGCACCGGAGGCAGGTCTTTGGTAAATCTGCGTCCCCGTCGCCCGGGCAGGGCCACTCTCCACCCCTGCGCCCTCCTCCCTTGGAGAGGTGGGAGGAATTTTCCTTCCTAAGCCGCGATGAGTGCGACGGGGGCCAGGATCATCTCCATTGCTCGTCTGGCGGGGGCTTGACCCACCTCCGAACACGGGGACAAATAGCTGCGGGGCCCTTCACCCCGCCCGGCTTTGCAGGGCAAGGCCTGGCGCTGTTGTTCCCGTTGCGAGGGCTTTAGCCAGCCTTTCAAGCTGAAATCCTCAGTGCGGCGGCTGGGCAGAGAGGAAATCCAGGGGCTGGCTCCGATTGGCCTAACGCCGCGGCAGCTTAAGCAGGCTGTTTTACCAGAGATTAGGGTTTCACTTACACAGAGCGCCTGAAAAATGTCGCGGTTTAGAGGGATTAGAGCCGAAAAGGCAATGCTTTAAGAGAGAAATAAAGCAGAGCAGGGACTGGAGAAACCCCGTGTGCCCGGGGGCTGTGCAAACAGGATTAACCTCTGCCCACAATGCCCCTCGCTCCTGCCCACCCACGAGTCCCTCTGCCTGCTCCCTGCCCCTCTCTCTGCCTGGGTCCCAGCCACGCCTGCTGTGCGATCCTGGGGCAGAGAGACCTGCAGATGCCTGCCGCTCATCTGTCCTGGGGTGGCTAATGAAGCCTGGTTTGGAAGGGCTGCTCTTCCCCAGGCCTGCGGGAGACGCTCTGCTTCTCTGCTGCTGGGCAGCCGTGCAAATGCCAGGCTAGGGAGGCAGGGAGTGATCCCGCTAGATCCCCGTGCACTTGGTACAGTGGCTGGGGCCTGATGCTCGGGGCTCTTTGCTGGCCATCCCAATTCCAGTCCCCTGGGGGAGACAGACCCTCCATAGTGCATTTGCCTTTGGAGCCAGCAGGCCGGCCTGCCAAGTGTGAATGTGAGGGGAGCCTATACCCAGGTGTGCCTGTGGGGGGTGGGCGCTATACCCAAGTGTGAATGTGAGGGGAGCCTATACCCAGGTGTGACTGTGGGGGGTGGGCGCTATACCCAAGTGTGAATGTGAGGGGAGCCTATACCCAGGTGTGCCTGTGGGGGGTGGGCGCTATACCCAAGTGTGAATGTGAGGGGAGCCTATACCCAGGTGTGACTGTGGGGGGTGGGCGCTATACCCAAGTGTGAATGTGAGGGGAGCCTATACCCAGGTGTGCCTGTGGGGGGTGGGCGCTATACCCAAGTGTGAATGTGAGGGGAGCCTATACCCAGGTGTGACTGTGGGGGGTGGGCGCTATACCCAAGTGTGAATGTGAGGGGAGCCTATACCCAGGTGTGCCTGTGGGGGGTGGGCGCTATACCCAAGTGTGAATGTGAGGGGAGCCTATACCCAGGTGTGACTGTGGGGGGTGGGCGCTATACCCAAGTGTGAATGTGAGGGGAGCCTATACCCAGGTGTGCCTGTGGGGGGTGGGCGCTATACCCAAGTGTGAATGTGAGGGGAGCCTATACCCAGGTGTGACTGTGGGGGGTGGGCGCTATACCCAAGTGTGAATGTGAGGGGAGCCTATACCCAGGTGTGCCTGTGGGGGGTGGGCGCTATACCCAAGTGTGAATGTGAGGGGAGCCTATACCCAGGTGTGACTGTGGGGGGTGGGCGCTATACCCAAGTGTGAATGTGAGGGGAGCCTATACCCAGGTGTGCCTGTGGGGGGTGGGCGCTATACCCAAGTGTGAATGTGAGGGGAGCCTATACCCAGGTGTGACTGTGGGGGGTGGGCGCTATACCCAAGTGTGAATGTGAGGGGAGCCTATACCCAGGTGTGCCTGTGGGGGGTGGGCGCTATACCCAAGTGTGAATGTGAGGGGAGCCTATACCCAGGTGTGACTGTGGGGGGTGGGCGCTATACCCAAGTGTGAATGTGAGGGGAGCCTATACCCAGGTGTGCCTGTGGGGGGTGGGCGCTATACCCAAGTGTGAATGTGAGGGGAGCCTATACCCAGGTGTGACTGTGGGGGGTGGGCGCTATACCCAAGTGTGAATGTGAGGGGAGCCTATACCCAGGTGTGCCTGTGGGGGGTGGGCGCTATACCCAAGTGTGAATGTGAGGGGAGCCTATACCCAGGTGTGACTGTGGGGGGTGGGCGCTATACCCAAGTGTGAATGTGAGGGGAGCCTATACCCAGGTGTGCCTGTGGGGGGTGGGCGCTATACCCAAGTGTGAATGTGAGGGGAGCCTATACCCAGGTGTGACTGTGGGGGGTGGGCGCTATACCCAAGTGTGAATGTGAGGGGAGCCTATACCCAGGTGTGCCTGTGGGGGGTGGGCGCTATACCCAAGTGTGAATGTGAGGGGAGCCTATACCCAGGTGTGACTGTGGGGGGTGGGCGCTATACCCAAGTGTGAATGTGAGGGGAGCCTATACCCAGGTGTGACTGTGGGGGGTGGGCGCTATACCCAAGTGTGAATGTGAGGGGGGCCTATACCCAGGTGTGACTGTGGGGGGTGGGCGCTATACCCAAGTGTGAATGTGAGGGGAGCCTATACCCAGGTGTGACTGTGGGGGGTGGGCGCTATACCCAAGTGTGAATGTGAGGGGAGCCTGTCCCAGGTGTGACTGTGGGGGGGGCTATACCAGGTAAATAGAGTCACACTGCGCAGCTGGCCTCGGTGTGAACAGCGGGATGAAATGAAGCAAGCGGCTCCTGGAGATGCCAGCTCTGCGCTATCGGAGCTCTGCTCAGGTCACTGCTCCTCCTCCACTCCCACTTGCTTCTCTCCCCAGGTCGTGACATGGCGAGCACCACCCTGCCCGGCTACCCACCCCATGTGCCGCCGACTGGCCAGGGCAGCTACCCGACCTCCACTCTCGCAGGGATGGTTCCCGGTAAGTCAGCGCCGGCAGCATCGGTACTTCGCTTAGCCAGATGTAGGCCTTGGTCGTTCTGCTCGAGTTGCCTCCTAAAGCTCTGTGTCCCTCCCAGCAGTACGTCCGTCCCTGCTGCCGCTCAGGTCCTGCCTGTCCGTAGAGGAGCAGCCATGTGCTTACAGGCCATGGTAACTAGCTACCCACAGCTCACAGTCAAACATCGCTTGCTACCCACTGCCCACGGAATGTGATTCATCACAGCACAGGGCAACTAGCTATCTATAACCTATGGTAATTAATTAACCTTCCTATTCATTCACTAGGGCAATTAACTCCCTACTGTCCATGTAAATTATTATCCGCTGCTGACAGCTCAGGATAATGAACTACCCCCCTGCCTAGGGTAACAAGGTTTTTCCAAAGCCCAGGACAGCTTAGGAGCAGATGCCAGGGGTAACTTAATATCTACAGCCATGAGTGGGCACAGTGCTACCCAAAGCCTGGCCTTGCAAAGAACCTTTTGCCCACCTTCTCTTTGGCCAAGGCCCCAGGAATAGCTAGTTCGGAGTCCAATCTGGCAAACACTGTTGATCTTACTGCTAGTCCATGGGGCTACTCTCAATAGTGAACACTTAGAAACAACGAGCTGTCCCATGGCACCTTTGAGACTAACACAAATACACAATGTCACGAGCTTTCATGGGCAAAGCCTACCTCTTCAGATGAGAGGGATAACAGAAACGCAGACTTTGTAACGGGAAGGGAAAAGTACCTGTCACCTGTAGGACCAGTGCTAATGAGGCTAATTGAGCGAGCTGGAAGTGTCCCAGCTTTTGATGTAAAAACGAGGTGCTAAATGCAGGGCAGGCTGGCTTTATAATGCGACAGCCAGTTCATGTCTTTGTTCAAGCCCAGGGAAACAGTGTCAAATTTGCAGACAAAGATCAATTCCGCACCCTCTCTGTGCAATTGGCTTGTGAAATTCCTTTGTTGGAGAACGGCTACTTTGAAATCCGGGAGTGAGTGCCCAGGCAGGTTAAAGTGTTCTCCTCCAGGTGTGTGTGTGTTCCCATTCCTGGTGTCTGACTTGGGACAACTTACCCTTGGCACAGAGACTGTCCGGTTTGGCCAATAGACATGGCAGGGGGGCATTGCTAGTGAATACTGCCACTCATGATCAATGTTTGCAAGTTTGAGCTCTAAGATCTTGAACAGACTCCTCCCTGCTTACATCCCTAGAGGTACTGGCTAGTAGCAGTGGTCTCTGCCCAGGGCTCACAAACTACCCACAGCCCCAAGATAACCACCTAAGGATATACCAGTAGGGTTATGGGTTCAGGAAAAGTAATAGGGCCAGATTCTAGCTCCCACTCCGGCTCCTTTGCACCACTCCAGCAGTGCAGAGAGGCTGAAAACTTGCCTCACTGACAATCTGTGTGTTGAAATCTCCAAGTGGCACAACACTGGTGTCATTTAGAGCAGCCCCAAGTATGCTCTACGCGGCGCCGGGGGCTGACTTGGTCCAGCTGGCTTGGGGCTGAGGGGAACACTAATGTGCCAGATAACAGTCAAAACCCAGTCATAAGGGATGAGTTCAGCTCACTGCATATTTCAAGTGTATAACCAGTGTGTGCTTAAAGCAGCATTGCCGGGCCTTCATTGCCATTTTACCCCAAACTAAGAACACTTCTCTTTGTGCAGCGTAGACAAACCCTCAGTAACCCACAGGAGTGGGTGTAGGGAGTAATTCTCCATAATGACCACTGGACAATGAAACTCAACATCCTCGTGGCAGGGATCATAGCACAAACTAGCCCTGGGACAGCCCTCTTCAGAAAAGGTGCATTCGACAGCCACGAGGAAGCCCGAGAGTCAAAGTGAAGGGAATTCAGCTCCTCAGAGTGGAGGCTACTTAGCCACCTGACAATAGGCACACCGAGGGCATTCAGACATAACAACAAAGAACAGAAGCAGGAAATTAAGGGGGGAAGGCTGCATCATGAAAGAGGTTATTCGAGCCAAATAGGCGCCCTTCTGATAATGACAATCCGGCCATGTTGCAGCTTAATCCGACGTGAGGGTTAGGAGGAAGTTTTTCCTGTAGCCTGCTTGGACATGCTGTGGTGTCTCTGACATCTCCCCATGAAGTACCAGAAGACGGCACAGCATACTGGACCAGATGGATGGGCTACTGCTCTGCCAACTCATATAGTCCAGTCAACCGGAGCCAACATAAACTGTGTCCCGTAGCATGTAAGATAGTGGGGAATGCGAAGTGCAAACATCTAGAGACTTGGATGCAAATAGCAGGGAATCCTTTCAGTCTGTCTGAAGCAGGAAGTCTGCAAGAGAGAGTTCGAATTATAGTAGCATGGAATCCTAGGATTGAAGGAACCTCGAAAGGCCAGCACGTCCAGGCCACTGCCCTCCCAGCAGGACCAAGCACCGTCTAGATCATCATGTCTCTCCTACCTGTTCAATTTGACTAATCAGAGAACACCGTCCTGGGATGTGCGAGATGCCAGAGAGCCGCACTGCCCAGTTGCTCTGAACATCCACTCCTCTTTGGGGACTATGAAGCTAGGTGATCGCCATTTGGGGTACTCCGTCGTTTCCTGGTTCCCGTGTGAGCTGCCAGGATGCAGATGGCAGAGCAGAGCTGTGACACTCTGGCTGGATAGCAGATGCAGGTGGATGGCCGAAAGAACTGACTCATAAGGAGCAACCCAGACCTCTGCCAAAAAAAGGGTTCTGAGTCACTGGATGGCATTCAGGCTCCAAAAGAGACACCCGTGGAGTTTCTGTTCTGCAGGAAATTCCAACGATTCAAAAACTTGGTTTTTGTCTCAAACTGGGACCAAACATCAAAATCTTGAAATACTTGGTGGCGTCGCGACATGGAAACGAAACATTTTGATAAGAGCAATAGGCTTCGATTCAGTAACAGAATATGTCAGAACAAAATGAAACAAAAGAAGGAAGTTGAACAAAACAAGAAAGCGGAAACCAAAGCCAAGGAAGTCTAAACCAAATCCTCAGTTCTGAATTGTTTCGAATCGTGTGGGTTGAAAATTCCCTTGGAATGTGCACATTCCATGCAATATTCCAACGCAGTGGAAGTAGCATTTGGAGAGGGAGAGCGATTCCGTCTCACAATGCCGACCCTCGCTAGCTAAATGCATCTCTCTGATCCCTGGCATCCGTGGGGTCGCGCTGGTGTTTGCCTCCCTTAAAGACACACAGGCATCTGGGGTGCGTGTCGCCCTTTGGCTCCTGCAGATGCTGCCTTGGGATGGGTCCTGAATTTGCAGTCACCTGTCTGCACACACATCACAGCTGCAGCTCAGGCACACTGGCTGTAGAGATGGATGGAAGCCAGTGCACTTCCCTGCGAAGGGGGATAGGGCATTCAAAGGAGGATTAATCAGACATTAGACTACTATTATGCACGATCCAGGCTTGCTTCTCTAGGCCTCCTGTCTCGCTTCCCCGTCTTGGAGAAGCCATCAGCACCAGCCTCAACCCCTCTGCCAGCTGGAGTCGCTCTGCCAGCCAACCCTCTGGAGGGCCTTGCAAAAGGGGAAGGGGTTTAAAGGGAGCAGCGTGGAGCCTGCAATGGGCTGGTAGCAGCAACGGGGGGAGCATTACACAGAATCCAATGCTGATGAGGAAATTACACTTGTTTCATTAGCGATCGGGAAGGCAATAGCTCAGTTCCTCTTGGTCACAGTTGAGCTCCAAAGCTCATTATCCTGCTGCATGCATGCTTTCCCTCCTCGTCAATAAACACCGTTTCCAGGGGCTGCCCTCCCTCCTCCCGGCTCCCCATGGCTGCGCCAGAGTGGGGCTCTTTCTCCTCTACTTAACCTGTGGCTCGGGATCACTGTAAACAGTTCAGGATGACAACACAGGAGAGAGAGAGAAGCTTTAACATTTCAGACTTTTGCTCCCTCCGCAGCCACACGGCGGCCTGGGCTATGCTAGATGAGCCAGCTCGGAGCAGAGATGTTGCCTACTGGGCCTTTTCCTCCTCTGTGTTCGACTTCTCCCTGCATCTCTCTGCTGGGTAGCTCATTTCAGTGGTTACAGCGGGGCTGGGCTTGGTAATCTGCCTCTGTGTCATCTCCCTCCGCCTGCCCGCCACAGTAACCCACCCTCTCTAGCGCATGGGTGCTGTGACCATCTCCCGGCCATCTGCCGGGGCTTCCGAGGCTGCATGTGTCTGGGTTGGAAGCTCATGGAGGGGTTGGCATTTGTTTGGAATCCGAGGTGCCGAACTAGTCCCCTCTGCTCAGGCCTGGCCTGCACTAGAAAGTCAGTTTAATGACATTGGTCAAGCATGTGAAAAATCCACCTGGCAGAGCAGCATGTTAAGCTGAGCCTTGTAGACAGCACTAGGTTGGCAGAAGAATTCTTCTGTTGCCCTCGTTAGCTGCCACTGGTATGGCCAGGTAGCCTGGCTCAGACAGGCTTATGCACCAGCTCCGGGGAAGTGGAGAGACACGTCTTTGCCACTGTTTTCACTCCCCTCTTTGTTTCTTGCAGGGAGCGAGTTCTCGGGGAACCCTTACAGTCACCCTCAGTACACGACCTACAATGAGGCCTGGCGATTCAGCAACCCCGCGTTACTAAGTGAGTACCTGCCTGTCCGACCCCCGACTCTCAGCTTCACGCGCCTTCTGTACGTCTCTTTGTTTTCTTTTCTTTCTTTCTTTGATTTCTGAAATGGGCCTGCAAGTATCTGGCCAAGCTAGAAGTCCTTCCCTACCCTGCCCAGTCTGCCCGCTCGTGGGTATTTTCATGGCATTTGTTTTTTTCCAGCCTGAGGCTGCTCCAAGACTCCACTTTGGGTGGGGTCAGGAATCCACTTCAGATTCTCCTTTCTCCATGAGCTGTACTCAATGTTCCCTCTCATTTTTCCATCAGTAGGTGGAATAAATTTTGTTAGGTGCACCCAGGCATGTGCAAATGTGCACCACTAGTAGAAACACATGCTGCTGGGTGTGGGCACTCTACTAATCTGCTGGGAAACATTTGAATCTCTCCTGGGCGGCTGCCCAAGTGCCCAGCTTAGAGGGAACATTGGGCCTGTACCCACAGTCAATTCCAAGGATAGTCAGCAAATTCTGATCCAGGAGCAACGCCCACAATCCATTTCAGATGGGTGAGCGATCAGGCCTTGGGGCAATGTGGCCATGTTTGTTGGCAGCTGGTGGAGTCTGTGCCATAGGATTGGACAGTCCAATGCCCCTAATGTTCACAGACAAAAATGAAATCAGGGGGGAGGGGGGTGCAGGAGGAGAAAAGCCCTAAATCTCTGTCTTCTCGCACAGCATTTCCTTGTGCGGGCGCAGGAGGAGATGTGTTGTATGTAAAATGAATCGATGGTGATTATTAACTGTGTAGTCACTGCGGTTTAGCACCCGGGTAATAGGTGCACACTTTCTCCCCGCGTTGTTAAGAGCACATGTGATCTTAAAAGTCCGTCACCTTTTCACTCCCCTCCAATAGCCATCCGGGGGCTCCCCTCCCCAGTGTGGCCACGATCCCAAGGGATGAAACAAAGGGCGATTGCTTCGCTTCTCCCCCAGCTGCGTTTGGAGATGGCTCCAGTCACGTGGGCCAAGGCCTCCCACCGATGCGTTCTGCAGCTCCAGGACAGGGTGCTCCCGGGTGATACGCTCCGATCTCCCCTCCCTGATTCCCCCAGTGCCGCCCAAAGAGTCCGGGGCTGGGGGCTCGCTCGGGCCCAGCAGGAACAGGCGTGCACGCGAGGCGCACGCAGTTCAACCTGCGCAGAGGACGCCATCTTATCCCGTTGGTTGCGGCTTCCTCTGCTCGCTGGTGGCAGCGGCCTGGCCCCTCGCTCAGCAGCCACAGGTCTACTGGAAAGAGGGTTTCCCAGCGCACAATGTGTGGCGGCGCGGCGGCGGTGGGGCGGGGGGGCGGCCCGCATGCCCCTTGCTTTAGCCCTGCTCCTCCTGTTCTTTCCTTTTGCCTCCTTCTCGTCTTCTTTTTCATTTATTTATTTTTGTTCCTGTTTGTCCTTTCAACCAGTCCATTCTTCTCCTGTGTTAACTTTCAGGTTCCCCTTATTATTATAGTGCCACATCCCGAGGCGCTGCACCTCCCACTGCTGCCGCTGCCTATGACCGCCACTAGTTACCATGGAAACCACATGAAACTGCAGGGCGACAGCTTAGGCCTCCATATTGTACCTGTCTGATCAACTTTCTCCAGCCCCGGGAAGGGTGAAGAGAACGTCTCCGCCCCCCTCCACGCCCGGCTCTCCTCCTCCTTCCCCGCCGAACGCGCCGGGCCGACCGGACTGAGAAATACGCCTCCCCTCGCCCAGCCCGGCTGCTTCCGTGGACAATGGGACGGGCCTGTGGCGACTCCCCGGCTGCTGTCGTCCTGCCGACCATCCCCGGCACCGCGCGGCCACGCAAAGCCCCCCGCGTGGGAAGCCTGAGGGGAGTCCAAGCAATGCAGCCTGCAGCCCTTGTTCATACAGGACCCTGCTCTCCAGGGAGTGGCAGCGGAGGAGCCACCCGCAACCAATTGTTCCCTTTGAGAAACTTTCTTCCATGGTGGATGCTTCAGCGTGCTGATCGACAAGCTTGTCTCAGAGGCCCGAGGGAATGGTCTGCCTAGCATGGGGGTGTCAGCCCCCAACTCATTTGCCACGGAAGGGCCCAGCGTGACACTCTCCACCCCCCCCTCCAACCCCCGGGTCGCTCTCTGTGCTGCATCCGCCCTCTTCTCCCCATGCCTCGGCTCCCTTCAGGCGCCGTTTGAAGGCCGCCCCCGGCCTGTTGTGACCCAGCAGGCCAGCGTTGGGTTGAAACACTCACAACCACAACTTCTGTGACACACAATCAGCTCAGACAGGAGGATGGAGCCACATCACCCAACCGACTGAGGAAATGAAGAAATATATAAATAGATATATAAATATAACTGTGTTTTTATGCTTTGTCATGAAGGTCTGTAAAAAGGGAAAAAAATGAACAAATCCCCAATTTTCTAAAAAAAAAAAAAAAAAATCAACAAAAAAAAACCGAAATAAAAAAAAAACCCTACAAAAATAAACCCAAATCCCCACGCCCGAATGGCAGACAAGTTCCTCTGATGTCTGACGCTCCCCTTTCACTCTTGGGTTTCGTTTCCTTTCTGTTTTGCACTAGAATGGGACGGTGGAGAGGATCGGAGGCCTGCTCTGTTCATTACCTCCTCTTTTCCTAATCCCAATCCCATTCTCTGGGGAGCAGTGTAGACAAGTCACAGCTGGCAACAAATACAAATTTTTAAAAATGACCAAACCAACCAGCCAAGAAACTGCACCTCGTGGAAAGTCTCCTTTTTCCATGTCGGCTGTCAGCAAACAAAGAAAACAAGCCCCGTCTCGGGCTCTGTTTGAAAGGAACATGTGGGGTTTCATGCAGGTCCATCGCCCTTCAGCCAACACAGCTGAGACGGACAAATTCAGAACTAGTTGGATTGTTCCTTGGTTCCCTACTCCTTAGATCCCCTGCGCCAAACCTTGTACCAGCTCCCTTCACCCACACCTGCTTCTGACCCACCTTAATATCTGTGCCCTACACCAGTCCCACAGCCCTGTTACGTGCTCTACTCTGAATTCCCAACCCCCCAAACCTACATCCGTGCTATCTATGCCCTACCCCCCCAATTCTTACACTTAGTTAGCTGTGTCTGCACCCTAACATCTATCTCCTACGCCCTACCCTTGAACCCAACCCCACGTTACACACCCTAATATTCACCCCCCGAATCCTGAATGCTCTTGCAATGACCCTGTAGTGGTTCTCTGCCCTCTTTGGCTCCCATGGCATTGCCAAGCACTGGCTTGCAAAAGGCTGAGTGTCGGTGGAAGTGCTCAGTACTCCTGCATTGCTGGCAGCTTCAGAGGCTCCCGTTCTTTGGACTGGCGCTCCCCAAAAGGAAGTCAAAGAAACCAGGAAGGCAGCTAGCGTGAGACTCCGGGGCAGCAAGAGGCAGATGCTCGTTGTTGTCTAGAGAGGGTTGTGGTAAGACGAGGGGGCCACTGTCCATGAACAAAGGCAGGAGAGTCAACTCACCGAGGGGGGAAATGTGAGCCATGGAGCAATTTCTGCAGCCAGCGTTTGGCTGTAGCCCCTGGCTCCCAGCCTCTGACCGACATGTGCGTCCGGACTCAGCTTTCCGCTTCCAGGCTTAGCCTGAATGTGTGAAACGTCCATCGGCAGCAACTGGCCGTCGCGGCACCAGAGACCCCACTCGCCCAGAGCTGCTGTCAGCACTTGCGCTGCTCCGGCAGGCCACGCGGATGCGTCTCCTGCCGTGGGGTGGCCCAGACGGCTACGTCTTTCCGTTTACACAGACGATAAGGGCCTCAAACCTGTTCTGGCAAATCTTGGCATGTCTCAGAGGGGGAGCCCTGTTCGTCGGTGTCTGTTAAAACAACGGGGAGTCCTGTGGCGCCTTAGCGACTAACCGATCAATTTGCCCATAAGCTTCCATGGGTCTAAACCACTTCCTCAGGTGCAAGTCAGTCTTGAGCAACTGCAGTGACGTCAGCCGCTATTCCAGCCCCTGCTAAGTCAATGGAGTTGCTCCAGACTCATTCCTCTGAGCCCATGAAATCAGTGGAGTCGTGATGGACTCATGGGAGTCAATGGAATGTATCCAGATTTATGTCAATGGGACTGGGTCCAGAATTTTGCCTATTGCCTCAGGCTCTCTCAAATGAAAAGCGGAGACACCGATTAATCATTTTAAAAGGCCTGCCCCCCCCATCCCCTCGGTTTGTCCCCACTTACTAGATGAAGACGGGGCCATAAGCAGTGAAGTCCACATTTGGTTCTCTCAATAATGCCTCTGCTCTCTTGTCCGAAATCCAGCTTCACCCAGTATGCGGTCAAGGCCAGAGGTCTCTGATCCCAACCCTGACAACTAAAATAACCCCAGGGGCTGGAACACGTGAGACCAATACCTCTCCCATTGGGCAATCTGCCATTCAGGAACCCTGTTCCAAAGCAGCTAGCTGCTGAGAAACGACCCCTCTTACGATGGCGTTTTGCAGAGAGCTGGGAGAGGCTGAGCAGGCAGGATTTGGCTGGTTTGATGTGACGCTGAGAGGAGCAAATTCCTAAGTGTTTAACTACCGATGCATAGGAATTTCCCACCTCCACTGAGCTCGCCTGGAGAGATTAGAAGAACAGCAAGTGGGTTGATCAGGAAAACAGAAGGACGGAGTCATATGCAAAGGACCAGGCAGTCTTCTCCTCTTCCACCACCTCCCGCGTAAAACCCCATGCGAATGTACTGAATTACATTTGCCAAAGAGTTTCTTGTGTTGGTTGTTTTGAGTTACAGTCGGTGGATGCATTGTAAAGCAGTATTATAGCTAAAGTCTAGTAGCTGACACGGGGATTTATGTGGTGATATTATGCAGACGAAAACCATCAATATTCATATAGATTCCATTAGATTGGACTATGCAGGAAACACAAAAATTCTACCAATTATTTAATATTATGTTATTTGCAAAAACAATTGCTGCTTTGTAGGAAGATAATGTGTGTAATGTGAAGGCAATTCCTCTTGTATATAAGCTCATCTCCATCTTCATCATGGTAGTGATTAAAACAGCCTCGTCTCATCCTGTACATAAGGAACGCGCTGTCTGTACTGTGCAAGTCTTGTTGTGCTCACTGAAAACAAAACTATCTGTTCAATAAAGCACAGCACAAACCCAGAACCTGAGGGAACAGCCACAGTGTGGAAGGCTCCTTCCCCAGGAGCCTGGGAGTTGGTTTATTTTAGGTGGATTTTTTTCATTTTTCTTAAAAAAAAAATATAACAAAAAAAAAAAAAAAACAAAAAACAAAGTTTGGAAGGAAAAAAAATCACTATGCAAAATCCAGCTCAATCTGTCGCTGTGTTTCACGTCTGCTTTTTCCTTCCCTTGCTCCCTTTATTTTCTTCTCCTGCCTTTCATTTCTCCCTTTATTTCCCTCCCCACCACCTTTTATTTCTTCCTCTGCTGCTCCTTCATTTCCAACCCACCGTCACTGCCAGAGAGAGGACTGGCGTTTCCAGTGGTCAGAGCAGATGATGGAGCTAGGACGCCGGAGTTTTCGACTCGACTCTTGGCAAATGCTGTCAAATCACCTCTTCTCCCTGCACCTCGCTCCCCACCTGTCGAGGGCACGATATTACTTCCCTGTTTTACAGAGGTGGGATGAGGCAGAATTTGTTAACATTGGCCGAGTGCTTTGAGGCCCCTGGCTAGGACGTTCTGCAGAAGCGTAAAGTATCAATCACATTCCCTATGGTTTCCACTGCATCTCTGCTCCTTTCCTGCCCTCACTCCCCTTTATTGTAATTCCCTTCTTTACTCTTCTGCCTCGCTCCCCTGGCTTTTCCAGTGACCCTGCGCTCCGTTGCCAGGTTTACTTTCTCCAACGGGCCAAGCAGAAAGGTGGCACCGCCCAATTTTTTCTCTTTCGGGGAAAAGAACCCCACAGGCTCTCGCAAGGGACGCGCTTTGCTGAAAGAGACCAGACACTCGGCATGTGGAGCCAGGCGATACTTGAGGCCTGTTCTCAGAAGTTCCTGAGTCCTCTCATTAACTGACCTGTTTAGTGGCCTCGTTGGGATGTGGGGCAATGGGGGAGGGACAATCCCATTAAAGCGACCCCTGACCTGTAAATGTGAGGGGTTTTTTTATCTCGGCGTGCATGCTTTCTGGCCCATCCACAGTGCTGAGTGTTACAGAGCCCAGCCTCAGAACCAGTCACAACATGAATGTGAGGATATTAAACATCAGTGAAAACAACCCCACCCACCCCGCACCTATCTCTCCTCGTGCGTGGTGCTCTGGGTCCATTTCCCCCTCAAGGAGTCTTGTTGTACTGAACTGTTGGAAAAAATGGCTGTTTTGTGCCCGAAGGATGCGCCGCCGCCAAGGGAAAGAAACAAGAGCCAGACCCGTCCTGCTTGGACTGTGCGGATGAGGCTTCGGTAAGACCCACCCACGCTACAGCAGCGTGCTCCTCGCGCAGGTCTGGGAAGGCGACAAAGATTTGAAAGGCAGGAAAAAGGGACCAAACCGCCATTTGAGAACTGGCCGCACAATCGAACCAGGACCAGAGCCCGTGGCGGGCACAGGGAGGGAGAGGAGGGCACATCGTCAGGAGTAGGGTCAAACCTGTTCTAGGCTGTTGCAGCCATTCTTGGCTTTCCCTCATTGCTGCAATTCTGTTTGAATCTTTTCTTCTTCCTCCTTTCCTCCCTGCCCTCCTCCCTTTTGTGTGTGTGTGTGCGCACATGAGAAATAAAAACAATTTTTTTTGTATGTCACCCCCGTGGCTCCTGGCTTGTTTCTCTCGCTCTCTCTCCAGCAGATGCCCTATCGTCCCACTCCATGCACCAAGCACCCTGTAAACATCCCCACTACTAACCATCACGCTGCTTCAGAGAAGGTGCCACACACACACACACAGGTCAGCAATGCGTCCCGCCTCTGTGAGTCTATTAGCCCAGCTTCCGTCGTCCCTGGGAAGTGGCAGCAAAACGCCCTCCTCCTCTGAGCTCTCTCCATGGACTCCCACTTTGTCGTCTCCCATACAGGCCAGATGCGCCTGGGTTAGCCACCGCATCACAGTGTCTTAGGGCACTGGTCCCACGTCATCCTCTCCCGCCTCCTTGTCGTCTCATTTAGGGATTAGCACCACTGGCTCACTGTGTCTTCCGGGTGTATTTTACCTTCCAGAGTTAGTGCCAATTCTCAACCACGGTGAGTGAGCTGAGTGGACGTGATCAGCAAAGCCTCCCCAAAAGGGAGAATGATTGACAGCTGTCAGAGTCAGTCCCCCCCCCCAATCCCCTAACACACACACACACACTCTGCTCTGCTAACAGACCGACATTTTTATTTCCATGAGTGGAATCCCTGCTTTCTCACGCTTTCCTCTCTGCTCTGAATCCACCCTGGTCCATTGCAAGGCCAGACTTCATGCTAAACCACTAATAACCCAAGCAC